CTTACTGCTAGCTGAAGAGGCTATAGCCATAGCTGTAGTCTATATAAATACGCTCGAATTCCGTGCGTGCTGTGAATATTTTTAGGCTGAGCAGACGCTGGTGAAAAAGGATGCCGAGGCCGGCAGCGGTGGGAGGTTGTTTGTTATAAGAAGAGCACGTTTGGGCCGTTTCTCCCATCCTCTGCTGTCTCCCGACTCTCAGCCCGACTCTGGTGTCCGCCTTTCTTCGGTCCTTACTGCTCCCCGCCAAAATGAAGCTCGCTCTGCTCTCCTCACTCGCTCTACCCGCCATCGTCGCGGCTCACAACGATGCCAGGCACGTACACATCCCACGCCAGGCTCAGAGCGCCTCCGCCATCCCCTCGCCCTCGCCCTCGCCCTCCGCCTCTGCCACCGCTCCAGCAGTCAGTGGCTCAGCCGTGTCCTCAGTGGCCCCCGTTGGCTCGCCTCCTCCGACTGCCTCCTTCTCCCTCGCCTCAGAAAATCCCACCGCAGTATCCTTGAGCGACATCATCTCCGGCACAATCACTACTCAGCCCACTCTCGGTGCTTCTACAACCTTCGCAGCTGGCTCCGTGCCCACCTTCCTCCCAAATGCACCACCTCTGCCTAACTGTCTGTACTCTTCACAATTCCTCCTTTTGAGATACTCATGTCTTTCTAGTTGCTACCATTAATCCCGCCAATTATCCCCCTCTCGACAAGCCTCCCCCCACCGATTCCCCTGAGGTACAGCAGTGGATTGCCGAAGTTCAGGCCTCTGGTATCACCATCCCCAACCTCTCAGTCACACTGCCAGGTGGCTGCGCAGCCAACCCACAGCTCGCTGCTGATCCCACCCGTTGTTGGTGGACCTGCGGTGGTTGTGTCAGGGACACTGATATCACTACTTGCCCAGATAAGCTCACCTGGGGTCTCACTTACGACGATGGTCCTGCCCCGTACACCCCCGACTTGCTTCAGTATCTCGACCAGCAGAACCTCAAATCCACCTTCTTCGTCATCGGCTCACGCGCCATATCTTACCCTGCCTTGCTGCAGGAAGAGTACATGGGTCAGCACCAGATCTGTGTCCACACATGGAGTCACCCTCCCGCAACCACCGTGACGACAGACGAGTTCATCGCTGAGCTCGGCTGGACGAAGAAGGTCATCAAGGACATCCTCGGTGTAACGCCCACTTGCTGGCGTCCTCCGTACGGTGATATCGACGACCGTATCCGCGCTATTGGTCTCGCTATGGGCCTCACACCCATTATGTGGACCCGTATCAGCCCTACTGCGACCTTCGACACTAATGGTCAGTATGTTCACACACCACTGGGAAAATAACGCTGACGATCCCCTCTCTAAACCCGTAGATTACAACATTGCTGGCGGTTTGGTCAGTGCCTCTGAGGTGCTCCACAACTGGGAGGATATCATGGGCAACGTGACTCAAATTGACACCGGATTCATCGTGCTCGAGCACGACTTGTTCGCACAGACTGTCGATATCGCTACCGGCTATATTCTGCCTGCAGCGCTGGCCAACAACCCCAAACTCGATATCAAGCCGGTCATCTCATGCCTGAACAAGCCACTTAGCGACTCTTACTTGGAGACAAACGACAACAGCACGAATCCCCAGCCGTCCACTGTCAACGATAGTATGTAATATTTGTTTATGCACCACGTGCGCTTGCTACTCGGAAGGCTCATTATCTTTCTTCTCAGCTTCTGTGCCTATCACCTTATCCAGTGGAGCAGCAGGTTCAGCGCAGGCTACAGGCAATAGCAGCAACAGTGGCGCCTCATCCAAAGGCTCCTCTTCTGCGTCGTCGGTCACCATCGGCGCTCCGCTCGTTTTCGTTGGCTCTGCACTGGTCGCAATGCTGGCTGGCGCAGCATCTTTGTTGTAGGTGTTGCAACGTTATTGTCAGCGTCAGCAAAGGATAGAATTGTTTGATCGCCAATGTCGATTTCCAAAACTACCGTCTGTCAAGCTACCATCAAGATGTGACGCTCGCGCTCCGACCAAGCTATGCAGTGTTTCTTTTTCTTTCTCAAGTGTAGCTGGCTCTTCTTGACATCAAAGCGCTTCCTGGATGCCTCCCAAATACAATACTTTGGACCTTTTTACTTTTTACCATGTCCTCGTTTCTCTTTCTATGGCAACTTCGACTACCTTTTTGCATACCTTTTAACGTACTTTTCTTGGTTCATGCCCCTGGCGCGGGTTGCATCAGAATTTCTAGTTATATTTCTCTGATATACCTACATTCAATGAAATGGACTGTGGACATTTTTTCCTGTAGTTATGCATGTACCGCCAGTCGATAATGAACTCGCTGTTCTTAGTTTTGACGGCGAACATTTCGCAAAGTGTGTCGTTATATTTTCCAATGTACAAACAAGCGAATGCATCGGCTCCTTTCATGGAAGATATGGAACCGCGTACGCGTGTGACAAGCTTCGCTGCTTCTTGGTGGTCCCTCTCAGCGCATGGTACCGTCGTTACAGGGAAACTTGTGAGCATACATCGAAGAAACAAAGTCCAGTGAGATACGGAGATAATGTAGTGGTGCAATAATTAAGGAAAAGAGTGCGGCACTAAGCTGCCATTACGAGGGTATTGATGTGTTGGAATTCATGTCCGTATTCCGAGCACCGACTGCCCGACCGATCAAATTATGAAGGGGGGCGGAGGGCGAACAACGATGATTCAACATGTTTACGAGCGAGGAGAGAGAAAAGAGAACAGTCCAAGAGTTTGTTAAACGGAAAGAGAGAAAAGTCCCTACAACTACATGAGCTAGCATGTGAATCTCGTATCTTGTGGGGAGAGCGAGGTCTTAGGCGAGCGCGAACAGGCCCCCAGCGAGAGCGAAGAGTGAGGCCAAGGCGGCTCCGAACACGGCCTGTTGGCTGCCACCCAATGCACCGTTGCTGCCTCCGTTGCCCGAGGTACCTCCTCCACTCGAGCTACTCGAGCCACTGGGGTTGGAAGTTCCGGCGGTGGTGGAGGCAGGCGCACTCGGTACAAAGGTCGCGCTGGGGTTGGACAAGCACGAGCTCACGGCGGAGGCGACAGCTGCAGAGTTCGTGGCTGCATGAGAGTTAATTGTCGCATTGCCGGCAAAGTCGCATGACTGTGCGTTGCGGTTGGTGAGCTCATAGTATTGATCGAACACGTAGGAAAGTTTGACAGCTTATAAAATGGCTTCAGTATCAAACTCATCAGATGTGAGAAGAGAGCGTACCAGGGCCGCAAGGGGAGACAGGACCATATGTTCCTGCTGCACCATCAGCAGCAATGTTGTTGCATGAGCCACCCGCGGAGCCTAGCAGACTGCATCCCTCGTTAAGAAGACTGCCAATGATGCCAGAAAGGATTGTCGAGTTGGAGGTTGATGGCTTGAACTGGCATGCAACCGCGCTTTCCACACAGTTGCACGAGTTGTCGTTGGGCGTCGGGGGGAGGGTCGTGCTTGCCAGGAACGTGGAGTCTTGCGTAGGGCATGCAGGGTAGGCGTTGGTTCCAGATGTCGGGCTGTTGGGCGGCGAAACTTTACCATACTCGGTCTTGAGGTTGTCGAATTCCGCGCCGGTGGTGACGGTGTTGCCGTCAATAGTAACAATACCGAACTGTCCCTGTGCTGATGTAGCGGGAAAGTAGCTGAATGCCAGCGCACCAGACCAAACATTAGTCATCGGCGAGGCAAAGATCGTCTCTACTTCGACAAAGGTGCGAGGAGACGCGTCCAAGCATCCAAATTCAGAGAAGTAAGCAGCGACGTTGTAATTGGCGAAAAGAGTGTTCTTGTCGGAGTAGACATTGGCTGGATTAGCACCACATTCACTAGATAATAGTGAGTATGGACTGAAGCCAACAGATGTGGCACTTACTAGTTGTTGAGACCGAAAAGATCCAGCGAAGTAGCATCAGAGTTTTGACCAGTAGTATCACAACTGAGGTAGTTTGCGAATGGACCGAGCCATGAGTCATCTGCATCAATAGCAGCATAACCGACGAGCGCTGAAGACTTCTTGGAGGTCCTTGATGCATGCAAGCAGGATCAAAAACCGTTTTGTCAGTCATGGAGAACGCACTTACAAATAGGCTCTGACATCTCGCGCAGCAGCCTTGACAAATGCAGCGGCAGCGGTACCATTTGCGGCAATGACGACTTCATTACCCACGTTATATGCGAGAACGTTGTCGTACTTCGAAAACGTGTTGATAGTGTTGAGGTAGGTATCAAGAAGGTTCGTGGACCAGGCTGGGGAGGCGCGGTCTATCGAGCCGTCCAAGGGGAGCGACAGGTCGATACTAGAGCAGTGTGGGTGGTTAGCACTGCTGCAAATGATTATGGCGCACGTTAACTCACATAGTGTAAATGTTCGCGGAACTGAACGCCTGCATGCAAGAGTCGTGGTTCAGCGAGGAGTTTACACTGTAGACTCTCACAGCATTGATGCCCAATTGTTGAAGGAACGGAAGGTCTCTCGCGCAGCCGGCATCGTCTGCAAGGGGGTCGATGAAAGTCGAGGGCTCAAGGAATGGGTTGTTGGGATCATTAGCATCCACTGCGCCTGTATCGAGAGAGGTCAACGACGAAAGGGCGCGTATACATCGTAGCACTGACCCTGTGGTTGATATGCTACACCCTTGATAAAGAACCGGCTACCATCTGCATTGAACAGGTATTTTCCTTGCCTGCTAACGGTCTGAATAGCATGCACGCTGGTAGCCAAGACAGCTGCCGCAGCGACGACGGCGACACGCGTTGCGCAACGCATGTATTGACAATGAGGGAAGTGGATAAGGAGAAGTAAGGAGTAGTGAAAGTAAGAGAGAGTACTGTACTTGGTGGAGGTGTGAGACAAGAGTTGGCACGCGTGAGTATCAGTCCACGCTCAGCGGTTGCCGTGCAAAAAAAACAAATACCGGCCTGAACAGCCCATCAGCGCTTGACAGATGTGATCTACGTCTATGATGCAATGCAACCCGCTGTATCGCCCGCCTAGCTCAATCGGATAGAGCGTCAGACTCTTAGCATGAGTGCGGGTGACCACAGATTCCTGCGATCTGAAGGCTGCGAGTTCGACCCTCGCGGTGGGCTAGTTGTTTTCACTCACATTCTCACTTCAGGAATCAGGAATTCAACGAACCCTCCTCAAATACACCAGAAAGATGACTAGCTCCATATAATGCAGCTTTTATCATATTGGCATGCGGACTGAGGCAGGAGCAACTCAGGAGGTCGCGTTACTTGTAGTCTCGTTTGTAACCCGGCGGGTCACAACGCGCGTCTGCTCTTTCATTTTATCTACCATTTTTGGTGTATTAGGACTTTCGTACTTCTTTACGTTTCCCACACTCTCGCGACACTTATATACTACGACGTTTCCTTCGAGCCATCTCAGTTTTCCCCTCCGGCTCGAAGGTATGTACCACCAGCTATTAGCTACTGCGATATCTTGTACTCACAGTTTTCCCCTTCGGCTCGAAAAATAAATTTTGTAGAAGTTCTCTTTTTCGAGTGTTTCCTGCTCGCCGCAGGTTTCCATCGTTCCCGTTATGCAGGTTACCCTAATCGGGTAAGAGTTCCGGAGAAAGAAGGCGCGCTCCCTGCCAGTGTAAATCTATTTTTCGCGATACAAGGACCTATATTAATCAACCTCTCAAACCGCCCTCCTTGCCTCCTACACGTCTGGGACCGAGACTCAGTAGCAGTCACCCTACTTTACCGAGACGTGAACAAGAACGGCTGGGGACGAGCTTACCCTATTTGTACAGTATACATACTCACTCGATTTCTGTAAAGCAGAACATCATCTGAGACTTTACACAAAACATGATTAATGATTTGGGATCTGTGTCGTGATCAAACACATCTTCCACAGGGGCCAAGATGCAGAGCATAGTAGTCAACTATATAAACCCCCTTGCCCACGCACCTCAGCGCCGCCCCAGTCTCCAAGTTTTTGCTTCAGCGCAGGTCGGTGAGTACATCGTTGTTCACAGTTCACTCACCTTGGGTCAATGTGCTCAAGTCACTTTACAGCTGTTTCACTGTCTTTCCAAATTGCCTCTCACCATCCCATATCCTTGTTCATCATGCGTTTCTCGACCCCTCTCGTGTTGTACGCTGCTTTTGTCACCGGCGTGTTCCATACGGTGACTGCCAATGCCATCCCCCATCTACCTTCCTCCAGCAACCCGAGCACAGGCAGACACACAGTCCTCCATCAGTCTGTTCCCACCCCAACTTCGAATCTTGGCGGTCGCGGGAGCTCGTCTGAGTGAGTGCTAACATATATTGCGAATGAACTGTGTCTCTAACAATCATCTTTCATTCTGTACAACGACCAATTAAATGCTGCCGACCGCCACAAGCGCAGCTCGCAACACCAAGCACGTTATCCTAATGATAGTCTGGACAATTTATCGACAGCTATGGTCGCAGAGGCTGTGCATGCGACAAAAAGGGGGGTAGGACCCTCGCCCGCAGAACACACGTTGAACAGTCCGAAGCCCAACACTGGTGCAGGCGATCACCCGGGTGGTGACCCTGGTACCAGTAATAGACCGTCGCCCGCCGATGGCCCTCCTCAGCCTCCCTTTACCCCTCGCCCCACCAGCCGCCGTAGCCCTCAGAATCTCTAATCATCACTACTTCCAAGAGGAACCATGGTGCACGTCTTGCAAATAGTAGACCAGCCCTAGTAGACCGTCTCGATTCCGCCTGACTCGTCCCTCTCGCGGTCCTTTTGCTTCCCCCCTCGCGCTTCCGTTCGCGCTCGCTCTTCCGCACGCGTCCCTTGCCCTACAATTTCCTTACGCCAGGTTTTGGCGGCCCCGCACTCTGTAGTACTATTCTCTCACTTGCTCGCCGCCATGACACGGACAGTCCGGCTCCCACCCTCGCTCACCGCTGTCTCCATAGGTAGAATAGTCTTGTACTGCGGATGAAAGCACCCATCTGACTCTGTGCACGTCGCGCATGAACGTTTCATGAAGCGTTTGGCGCTTGATCAAAAACGCTGGTGTGGCGTCCGATTGAAGTTCCACCTTTGGCTATGACATGACATTCGTCAAGGGTCCATTTCCTTCAGCTCGTTCAGGGGTTAGTCAGCTCAATGATCCTGCCAGTGACGCACGGAAGTTGAACGTTGAACGTCCGCCTACTTTGCCTGACCACGGTGGGATGCATCATCATGAATCCGTGAACTCGCCGCTCTCTGACCAGAAATTCGAGAGCAATTAGGGAAGATTTGTTTCAATGACTTGACAGCACTACAAATACACAGAGCGTTACAACTTGCCATCACCTATAAAACTAATAACGAAACAATACTTGAGAAACTTGATCATGAAGAGGATGGTCCACACCAAAAGAGCACCTGAAAGTCAAAACGTAAGAACTGCCAGATATAAAACCGTAAAGGAGTGTTGCAAGGGAATGAGTAGACAAACTGCTTCGACGGAAAATGGTTGACGGCACGTTCAAAGATGCGGGTTAGTTTATTGTCAAGAAGACTGGAACAAATGAGACTCCGGTGTAGGCGATTCAGACGACGATGGTTCGGACAGGGGAGATGCCTCCCATGAGTAGCGGTGAGAATCCAGGAAAGATGAGCTTGAGCCACCCATAATCATAGGCTGCTGGCGCGCTTGACGGATGAGGTTGAGGATTAGAGATACACCCTCGCGCGACTGAAGAACGTCACAGCAGGTCAGTAACGATATAAAGTGTAGTCATGCAGACCCACCCGCTTCACGTTTGCTTTGAACCTCTCCAGGCTGTGGCTCTCAAGTCTCTTCGTCAAGCCCCATCCGAAATTGGACTTGAATCGAGCTTCAGTCCGTTGCAGGGTTTTACTGCAGACCGTAAATTTCAGCACCCCAGTAAAGAGTCAGTATGACTGAGACGATTTATCTACTTACTTGTCATCTGTCCGCTGAAACGTGACATACTCCTCTACCCGCATAACTTTCACATGGTCCAAGTTTTTCGTCGTACATCTCACAACGCCGTTGGCCGGGTCAACTTCGCTTTCCTCTAGAATCCAGCTCTCCGCCTTCTGCATGAGCCCTCGAGGAGCCCACTTGGGCAGCGAACCCTTCTTGAGGATGAGTCGTGTGGTCACAAGCGTCCCGGCGGGAGTGAAGATACGAGAGACGACGTCGCACGAAGCGACGTGCGATGCATACGGGTTTGGATATCGCAAAAAGAACGCGAGAGACACGATGGACCAAGGATCACTGGAGGAGGATGAGATGAGTATGCGGGGAACCGGAATAATGTGAATTAACGTGTGACACTCACTCGTACAAGAAGGACTGCGCGAATAACTTCATTGTAAACGAGCCTGAAGCGCTATGAGCCGTGTTATGCCGTAAATGCCTCTGTCAGCAGTCGTCAAGAATGCAATGTGAGACTGAGTGGTTGAGGGAGAGTTGGTGGATGGGAGACGTCCGAGTCCTTCTCTCAAGCCAGCCAGGCGGATACTGTGGAATTCGCGGCTCCTCAACACGTGATCCGCATGAGATCTCGGCACGTCGATGCTCCGTTCAGGCGCCTAAACCAATCCTCCCGCATATCCAGACGAACTTACACCTACTGCATTCACAGCAGAGGCCAGCATCGCATTGTAGAGAAACACTAAATAACGAAAAGACGTATGACTATTTCTAACATACACCAGCTAACCAATAGATATAAACAGATATTAAGCCGTCTTGTGCAGGTTAAACCCACTGAGCTTGTCACGACTCACGAATACTCTTCGTCTCTTGCCCTGGAATCCTTCGAAACAGAAACGCGTAGACCATCATATGCTGGTCGAATCCAGATAGGTTCCCCGTCTTTCAGGAGTGCTATCCCCTGCTGCTCGATCGCAGTCAATACGCGGTCGAATTTCTTCCTCCCACCCACCGTCTCCATCAGCGTCACATACTCATCGTGTGACACCTCATGACCGAAGCCCGTAAGGTATGTCCTCTGCGCACCCATCCGCCTTGCCACAGCTACAGAGTCTGCGAGTCCCAAATGTGAAGTATGCGGTTTCAGGCGAAGGCAGTCAAGCACGAATACAGGAGGCACACTTGCGCGATGCTGCTCGCCATGCTGCGAACGTCCAAACAGCGCCCATACGTCTTCAGGAATATGTGAGACGTCCGACAGGTAGATCACCGAATCCTGTATGACAAACCCAAGGCAAAGATAAGGCTGTATCGTTTTGAGCTCCTCGACCAGCAGATCATCGCGGGGTGTGCTAGGCCTTTCTGGGGGCGTTGAAGGGTTGGTAGATGCGGGGGATAACGAGCTAGGCGTGGGGCAGAACTCTAATGGGGGAGCTGAGGAGAAGATTCGGCCATGATGGACTACAATAGTGACATCGTGACCATCAGCCTCGAGCGGAATAAAGGGTACGAGGTTGAATTGAGAAACGTACCTGTGAAAGGCATGATCTTTATGCCCGTATTCTCGATTTCAAAATGCACACGGTCTTCTATGATGTGCCACTTGAATTCAGGGACCTGGAAATGACGCGTCAAAACTCTTTGAATAAGCGTCAGCGTGGTGTTCACTCACGTCGCCTCCGCCGGATGCGAACTCCTTCGATACGAGGTATGGAAATGCACGCTGAACCTCTCGAAAAGTGTGCATGCTAACATAGAGATCAACATGTGGTTGTATAGCCCCTCCCAGCGTCCATCCTGCGGAACTGGTCAGCATATGCCTCGCCATAACTTGGAACAGACAATTCGTGTACCTCGCAGATCGTCCAGTCCATTCATGGCTGCAATTCAAAACCGAATTAGCATAAGCCACATTTGCAGTAGATGCACGGACCATCGGCATGTGCATGGGTGATGAGAACAGCATCTATGCGCCTCAGTCCATACTTCGGAAACCATTCGATGGCAGCAGGCTGGAAGCTTTTCCCGACGTCGACGACGATGGTCCTTGATGTGGAAGATTATGTTAACTGCGGCTCAGGGAAATGCAGGCTCCGGCTTACTTCTTCTCTCCGTCGCTTCCGCGAATCCTCAATACGCACGATGTATTCCGCTGATGAATGCAGGTTAGTAAGACATGGGGGAGAGTGAAAC